CATTAATATATATAACAATCTAACCGTTGAAATTAAAATTTTTAATATATAGATCAAGTCTGTAAATTTTTAAAAATTTTAAAAATTATTTGATACTTCGTTACATTAATTTAAATTGATAGATAATCATAAAAATATTTTATATATTAACTTGAATTAATGAAACGAAGTATTAAATAGTTTTTAATTTTTTTAAAAAAATTTACAAATTTGATCTATGTATTAAGAACTCTAACTTAAACATTAGATCGTTGAAATTTGATATAAAACATGAATTATTGAATGAATTAAGTCTAAATAAATTTACTTATAAAGTAAACAAATTCTTCATATATATATATATATATATAACTGAATATTATTACTTAAAATCTATTTTAAATCAACAATGTTTTAAGATAGATCAAACAAAATAATTAAATTACTTTATTATTAGTAGGTTAAATTATACTTTTGGTCTTTTATCTTATTTTTAAGATTCATTTCATTCTTTTATCTTTTAAAATGTTCATCTTGTTACTTTATTTTTTAAATTTTGATAAAATTAAAAAATTAAAGATATTTAAAAAAAATAGAAATGTACTTATAAAAAAATAAATAAAAATATGTATATATCATGAGCCCTAAGCCAATTCGGGCCCAACCGTCATTCACTCATTAGTTATTACTTATTAGTGAACTCGCTACTATTATAGAGACTGCACCATGCACATAAAGGCCCAACAAGTAAAAAAAAAACAAAAAGAAGAAGAAGAAGTAGGAAGCATTATGATATTAATGATCATGATTTGGTTTTAGAATTGAATACGTGGAAAAAAATTGTTAATAGATTGTTAATAAAAGAACTTAATACTCAAATTGAAATAATTTGTCGATGTTAAAAGAAAAGTAAATGCAAGTGTATGTAACATGTGTATTCACGACAAATAATTGCACCGCATAACGCAAACAGTCACTGTTGAGTGCATAAATAAATAAAGACAATGTTCGGTGACTTGAGTGGAAGTTCAACAATTATCACGAAGATAACACATTCGTCATTTTTAAAAAAGGGACAACTTATATACATACAGCATATCACAAAACATTCTCATAAAAGGAAATAACCACCCCCCATCCAAAAACATCAAAAAACCAAGAAATACATTTATGATGTCCTTAACATACCAGCAAAACATTCAGTCACTAGGGCGGAGTAGGAAACGTCTTTCAAACAATCATTCTTCTTGTTTTTCCTTCGCAGCTCTGAAATTTGCCATCTGTTGATTCAACATACAAACCTCCATCTCCAGCTCCAAATTTTCATTCATTGTTTTTTCAAGTTTTTCCTCCAGGATTTGAACATTATAGTAGTTGTAGTCACGAATCTTTTTACCCGTTGCTGCTAGTAGTCGACGAATCAATGAAGCCGACACATCCTCTTGAGCATCGTAGTCATTTGCTGCAAATTTTCCCAATGAAACCAGGTTCCCAACATCACCCGTAACCAATGTTCCATAGTACCTACGATACTCAACTCCGTCAACAATCTGTTTTCGCTCCAGTGTGAACATTGGGTCAGGATAACCACGAACGGCACATATGTCAGACAACAATATTCCCATGCTTTGATGAACAAGAAACACCTCACAATTACTGTCCTCTGCAATATCATGTGGCTTACTACCTAATAAGAAAATAAAAAAACAAAAAGTAATTAACAATTTTTAAAATACATATTTATTCATAAATTAATGGAAAAATCAACCTTCTCCGCTACTCGTTGATTCTTTTCGACATTTTGTGTGACCTTTGTTTTTATTTTTTTTGTCTTGAGTGGCTTCTTTGTTGCAGTACATTATCCAAGCGGACCATGCTTCTTCATACGTGGCATATG